TTCGGAGAACAGTTTTGTGTGTGCGAGAGAACAGTGAAGTAATTGGCATTTTGAATTACTCGAGCTTTGAATTACTCAAAATTAAAATATGGTGACATCAAAATATTAATGAAGTCTCATTTTATGAATAAAAGTTGAAATAATGCAAATCACCCAATTTGAAATGCTTTCCAAGCTAGCGTAATTATAAAGGTCAAATAAATTATAGATGGCATTTGTGCTGTATCCCATGACAGGGCTACCCAAGCCAGCTAACAGAAGTTCCATCCTCGGTCAAGTTAGCCCTGAACTCTAGATTCAATTAAAAAAAAAAAAATACTCTGGGGTGCCTGGGTGGCTCAGTTGGTTAAGCGTCCAACTTCAGCTCAGGTGTTGATCTCACGGGTCATGGGTTCAAGCTCCACATCGAGCTCTGTGCTGGCAATTTGGAGCCTGGGGTCTGCTTCAGACTCTGTGTCTCCCTCTCCCTCTACCCCTCCCCTGCTCATGGTCTGTCTCTCTCTGTCTCTCTCTCTCTCTCTCTTTCTCTTTCAAAAATAAATAAATAAACATTAAAATAAAATTTTAAAAAAATACTCAAAATACTCTATCAAAATTATAATGTACATTTCTTTAGTTCCAGTAATTCCAGGAGTTCTCACGTAAGTGTTCAAAGATAAATATGTCCCAGAATGTGCCCAAAGGCTTTTGAAAATGCCCATCAATTGAGGATTGTATATTTCTACAATAAAATACCATACAGTCTTGGAAAAGGACAAGGTACTTCTTTACGTATGCTCACGGAAAAATGTTCACAATATAAGTGCAAAAACAAATTAAGGAATGAAAGATTCTATTTCTGCAAACAAACACACACACAATCCCAAGCAAAAAGAATTCAAATGCAAAGAATGAAGTTATTTATAGTAGTTACCTCAGGGGAACAGAGCTTGGAGGAAGAGAGAAGGAATTTTCACTTGTCAAATTTTAAAAACTGTGATAGCCAGTTGGTACGTGTTCAGCAAATTCTAAGCACTTCATTCAATTACTCCTCATAAGGACCCTATGTGTGAAATGCTTTTATTATTTCCATTATCAACAGTTGAGGAAACTGCTATCCAAAGAGACTAAACCCCCTGAATGGGGGGGTGGGGGAGGGTAGACTGAAAGAGGAAATCTTAAGCAAGCTCCAAGCTCAGCACAGAGCTGGACTAGGGGCTTGATCCCACAACCCTGGGATCATGACCTGAGCCAAAATCAGGTTGGATGCTGAACCAACTGAATCACCCAGGTTCCCCCATGAATGACTTTTTAAATAATAAACTTGTGAATTTTGTCCTTTAAAGATGGAAATCTAGGAGCGGCTGGCTGGCTCAGTTGGTAGGACACCTGACTCTTGATCTTGGGGTCATGAGTTCCAGCCCCCTGTTGGGTGTAGAGATACTTAAAAAAATTAAAAAATAAATGCAAATCTGGGGCGCCTGGGTGGCGCAGTCGGTTGAGCGTCCGACTTCAGCCAGGTCACGATCTCGCGGTCCGTGAGTTCGAGCCCCGCGTCAGGCTCTGGGCTGATGGCTCAGAGCCTGGAGCCTGTTTCCGATTCTGTGTCTCCCTCTCTCTCTGCCCCTCCCCCGTTCATGCTCTGTCTCTCTCTGTCCCAAAAATAAATAAACGTTGAAAAAAAAAAATT